TCGCAAAGCATTCTGCTACCAAGCTAACGTGTCAAAAGCCGTTAGTAGCCAGGCTAACTCCCTGGGTACAGTAAAAACGCAGTCTGTATATAACAATCCGCAGCTAAGCTCCCCTGCTACAGCAAGGAGAAGGTTCAGAGACTAAATAGCGGTGGGTCAGTGTAGTACCCAAAAACTAGTCGCTATAACAGCTGGCTTAAGATATAGTCCAGGCCCTCTTGAAAGACTGTAGCATTGCAAGGTACAACCCTATAAAACAGGAGCCTGCGGCTTAATTTAACTCAACACGGGGAAACTTACCAGGTCCAGATAAAATAAGGATTAACAGATTGAGAGCTCTTTCTTGATTTTTCAGGTAGTAGTACATAGCCGTTCTTAGTTAGTAGAGTGATTTGTCTGCTTAATTGCGATAACAAACAAGACCTTAACCTGCTAAATAGCCAGGCTAGCTTTGGCTGGTTGCTGGCTTCTTAGAGGGACTATCAGCTCAAGCCAATAGAAGTTTAAGGCAATAACAGGTCTGTAATACCCTTAGATATTCTGGGCTACACGCGCGCTACACTAACAGAGCCAACAAGTTCTTCACCTTGGCCAGAAGGTCTGGGTAATCTTGTTAAACTCTGTCGTACTAGGGATAGAGTATTGCAATTATTACTCTTCAACAAGGAATGCCTAGTAAGCGCGTATCATTAGCACGCGTTAATTACGTCCCTGCCCTTTATATACACCGCCCGTTGCTACTACCAATTAAATAGCTTAGTAAGGCCTTTGGACTGGCTTAGAGAGGTTGGCAATAACTACTCTAAGCTAGAAAGTTTGTTAAACTTGGTTATTTAGAGGAAGTAAAAGTTGTAACAAGGTTTCCGTAGGTAAACCTGCGGAAGGATTATTACTAAGAGTAACAGGCTTTAGTCTAGCTACTTTTACCTATATTTTTTAAGTACTAAAGTTTCCTTGGCGGCTCTGCCTACTAGTTGGACTCTATTTAAACCCTTTGTAGTTGCAGTCAGCGTCTAATAAAACCTAATAATTAAAACTTTCAACAACGGATCTCTTGGTTCTGGCATCGATGAAGAACGCAGCGAAATGCGATAAGTAGTGTAAATTGCAGAATTTAGTAAATTATCAAATCTTTAAACGCATATTGCACCTCTTGGTATTCCAGGAGGTATGCCTGTTTGAGTGTTATTTATACCCTTAAGCTCTGCTTAGTGTTGGGTATTTGTTCCGCCTCTGCGTGTAAACTCGCCTTAAAACAATTGGCAGCCAGTGTACTTGTTTTAGAGCGCAGCAGATTTTTATTACGCGCTGAATCAACGTACAGCAGTACCCAAGAAGCCTTATTTAACGCTCTTGACCTCAGATCAGGTAAGGATACCTGCTGAACTTAAGCATATTAATAAGCGGAGGAAAAGAAACTAACAGGGATTGCCCTAGTAACAGCAAGTAAAGCGGCAACAGCTTAAATTTAAAATCTGGCCCTTTTTAGGGTCTAAGTTGTAATTTGCAGAGGGCGCTTTAGTATCAGCAGCGGTCTAAGTTCCTTAGAACAGGACATTACAGAGGGTAAGAATCCCGTACGTAGTCGCTAGCCTTTACTGTGTAAAGCCCCTTTAACAAGTTAAGTTATTTAGGAATGCAGCTCTAAATAGGAGGTAAATTTCTTCTAAAGCTAAATACTGGCCAAAGACCAATAGCACACAAGTAGAGTAATTAAAAGATAAAAAGCACTTTAGAAAGAGAGTTAAACAGTACGTAAAATTGTTAAAAGGGAAGCGCTTGCAGCTAGACTTACCTATAGTTGCTTATCTAGGCTTTTGCCTAGTGCACTCTTCTATAGGCAGGCCAGCATCAGTTTGGGCGGTTGGATAAAGGTCTCTGTCATGTACCTCTCTTCGGGGAGAACTTATAGGGGAGACGACATGCAACTAGCCCAGACTGAGGTCTGCGCATCTGCTAGGATGCTGGCGTAATAGCTGTAAGCAGCCTGTCTTGAAACACGGACTAAGGAGTCTAACATCTATGCAAGTGTTTAGGTATTAAGCCCAAACGCGTAATAAAAGTAAACAGAGGTGGGAACCCTTCAAGGCGCACTATTAACTAATCCTAATATCTTCGGATAGATTTGAGTAAGAGCATAGCTGTTAGGACCTGAAAGATAGTGAACTATGCTTAAATAGGGTAAAGCCAGAGGAAACTCTGGTAGAGGCTTACAGCGGTTCTAACGTACAAATTAATTATTAAATTTAGGCATAGGGGCAAAAGACTAATTAAACTATCTAGTAGCTAGTTCCTGCCAAAGTTTCCCTTAGAATAGCAGTAACGTATTCAGTTTTATGAGGTAAAGCGAATGATTAGAGGCCTGGGGGTTGAAACAACCTTTACCTATTCTTAAACTTTAAATATATAAGAAGTCTTTGTTACTTGATTAAACATAGATACTTGAATGTACTGTTACTAGTAGGCTATTTTTAGTAAGCAGAACTGGCAATGCGGGATAAACTAAACGCAGGGTTAAGGTGCCAGAATACACGCTTATTAGATACTACAAAAGGTGTTAGTTTATCTAGACAGCAGGACGGTAGCTATAAAAGTTAGAATCTACTAAGGAGTGTGTAACAACTTACCTGCTAAATAAACTAGCCCTAAAAATAGATAGCGCTTAAGCGTATTACCTATACCCCGCCGCCAGGGCAAGATTTAAGCCCCAGCAAGTAGGCAGGCGTGGAGGCTCGTAACAAAGCCTTAGGGGTAACCCTGGGTAGAACAGCCTCTAGTGCAGATCTTGGTAGTAGTAGCAAATACTCAAATAAGAACTTTAAGGACTAAAGTAGGGAAAGGTTCTGTGTAAACAGCAGTTAGACACGGGTTAGTTAATCCTAAGAGATAGGGTAATTCCGTTTTAATGTAGGCGCTTACGCCTTGCCCTTGAAAGGGAAGCCAGTTAATATTCTAGTACCTAGATGTAGATTCTCCGCGGCAACGCAACTAAGAGCGGAGACTTTAGCAGGAGCCCTAAGAAGAGTTCTCTTTTCTTCTTAACAGTCTATTACCCTGAAATTGGTTTGTCCAGAGCTAGGGTTTAATAGCTGGAAGAGCGCTGTACTTTTGCAGCGTTTAGTGTACTCCTAACAAACCTTGAAAATCCACTTGAAGAAATAGTTTTTACGCCAGGTCATACTTATAACTACAGCAGGTCTCCAAGGTGAAAAGCCTCTAGTTAATAGAACAATGTAGATAAGGGAAGTTGGCAAAATAGATCCGTAACTTCAGGAAAAGGATTAGCTCTAAGGGTTAGGTACGTTGGGCCTTGGGGAGAAGTCTCTAGCGCAGAAGGGTACTAACTGCAAGGTAGGCGCCTTTTAGCGCTAGGGTGCAGGCACCCTTGGCAGGCTTTAGCTGTCCAGCGTACGCTTAACAACTAACTTAGAACTGGTACAGACAAGGGGAATCTAACTATCTAATTAAAACATAGCATTGCGATGGCCAGAAAGTGGTGTTGACGCAATGTGATTTCTGCCCAGTGCTCTGAATATTAAAGTAAAGAGATTCGACCAAGCGTAGGTAAACAGCAGGAGTAACTATAACTCTCTTAAGGTAGCCAAATGCCTTATTATCTAATTAGTAACGCGCATAAATAGATTAACAAGATTCCCACTGTCCCTATCTACTATCTAGCAAAACTACAGCCAAGGGAACAGGCTTGGCCAAATTAGCGGGGAAAGAAGACCCTGTTAAGCTTAACTCTAGTTTAACATTGTAAAAAGACATAGGGGGTGTAGAATAGGTAGGAGCTTCAGCGCTAGTAAAATACTACTACCCTTATTGTTTTTTTACTTATTTGATAAAGCGGAGCTAGGCCTTACCGCCCAACTTCTAGCGTTAAGGTCCTTTGTGGGCTAATCCAGGTTAAAGACATTATTAGGTAGAGAGTTTGGCTGGGGCGGCACATCTGTTAAACCATAACGCAGGTATCCTAAGGGGGACTTATAGAGAACAGAAATCTCCAGTAGAGCAAAAGGGCAAAAGTCCCCTTAATTTTGATTTTCAGTGTAAATACAAACTATAAAAGTGTGGCCTATTAATCCTTTAGTCCCTCAAAATTTGAGGCTAGAGGTGCTAGAAAAGTTACTACAGGGATAACTAACTTGTAGCAGCTAAGCGTTTATAGCGACGTTGCTTTTTAATCCTTTAATGTTGGCTCTTCCTATTATACTAAAGCAGAATTTGGTAAGCGTTGGATTGTTTACCTACTAATAGGAAACGTAAGCTGGGTTTAGACCGTTGTGAGACAGGTTAGTTTTACCCTACTAATAACCTTGCCCTAATAGTAATTCCGCTTAGTACAAGAGGAACTGCAGATTTAGATAATTGGTTTTTGCAGCTGTCTAACCAGGCATTGCCGCAAAGCTACTATCTGCTAGATTATAGCTAAACGCCTCTAAGTCAGAATCTATGCCAGAACAGGGTAATTTCTGCCTGCACTAGTTAGATACAAATAGGCCTTTGGCCTAGAACCTTACTAGGCTGGCGTCTGCAGCCCTATTGAAGTTGGGGTTGCTAGCCGGTGTATTGCAATTGTATAGTGCGCAGGATTAAATCCTTTGCAGACAACTTAGTTGTCTAGCTGGGTTATGTAAGTAGTTGAGTAGCCTTGTAGTTATAAGCTACTAAGCGTAAGCCCGCCGCTAGCTTGGTTGAAAATGGGAATACCTCCCTCCCCGTTTAGAAAGTCAAGGCCCCAAAGGCCGGCCTACAAAAGGGGAGATGGGGGGGGGGCTGCTGGCGGTTCTAGGGTAGTAATTCCCCTATTACTTTAGCAGCTTCTAGTTGTGGGTGCCCAGTTTTGGCAGCAGCCTGCTAGAGAGTATCTCTCTGGGTAGGCAGTTGCCCTTGCCGGCTCTGGTTGCAAACCCCCTATTGCTTATTTCTGGATTAGGAGCAGGCCTTGGGGGAAATGGGACCAGAGCTAAACCCCCTATTACTTACCGCAAAACCCCCTATTGCTTACCCCCCGTTACAGCAGGGGCCTTGGGGGGGGAGCCCCCTGAAATAACAGGCAGTCTGGGGGGGTAAGCCCCTGAAAAAATAGGCGGTCCGGGGGGGAGGCCCCTAGGTAATTTAGGGGCAAACCCCCTATTGCTTACCGCGAAACCCCCTATTACTTACCCCCTGTTACAGCAGGGGCCTTGGGGGGGGAGCCCCCCAAAATAACGGGCAGTCCGGGGGGGTAAGCCCCTGAAATAACAGGCGGTCCGGGGGGGTAAGCCCCCGAAATAACAGGCGGTCCGGGGGGGTAAGCCCCCGAAATAACGGGCAGTCCGGGGGGGTAAGCCCCCGAAAAAATGGGCGGTCTAGGGGGGAGGCCCCTGGGTGATTTGGGGGCAAACCCCCTATTGCTTACTGCGAAACCCCCTATTGCTTACCCCCTATTACAGCAGGGGCCTTGGGGGGGGAGCCCCCTGAAATAACAGGCAGTCCAGGGGGGTAAGCCCCCGAAAAAATAGGCGGTCTGGGGGGGAGGCCCCTGGGTAATTTGGGGGCAAACCCCCTATTGCTTACCGCAAAACCCCCTATTGCTTACCCCCCGTTACAGCAGGGGCCTTGGGGGGGGAGCCCCCCAAAATAACGGGCGGTCCGGGGGGGTAAGCCCCCAAAATAACAGGCGGTCTGGGGGGGAGGCCCCTGGGTAATTTGGGGGTAAACCCCCTATTACTTACCGCGAAACCCCCTATTGCTTACCCCCCGTTACAGTGGGGGCCTTGGGGGGGGAGCCCCCCAAAATAACGGGCGGTC